TTCTCACTTCATTGCTCAACCATAACTGCTCTCTCCAAAAATATGTCACTTACTTGCCCGATCTAATTGGCCCTTTCGAAATCCATATCCTTCTTTTTCGCTCTGTAGCATCTGACTCTGTTGACCACCCTTTTCTCATGACTGCTCTCTCCTCTTTGGATTTTTATACTACCCCTCTCTTGGTTCTCCTCCTACCAGCCTGCTGGCCCATTCTTTCTCATTCTCCTTTGATGGATCAACAGCCATATCCAATGGTTTGTGGGTGCTGGCTTATTTTGGATCTCTCAAGAGCTAATTGTTAAATTTTTCAGTGTGAGCATTTGTGCCTAGGAAATCAGCAAATGCTACAAATCAGGGCTAGGCTCATCATCTTGTTGATTACCTAGATTTAAGTGATGGGGGAAGTATTAGACATGAAGATTAAACTTAAAAGTGGGTCATGTGTACATTTTTTCCTTGGGGGAGAAGTGTTACATCTTTTCTCTTATCCCACCCCTTAACTGTGAGTATACCCCAAGGCTCTTTCTAGGACTCTCTTCTTTTTTCTCTCTCTATATTCTCTCTTGGTGACCTCATCAGATTGCATAAGTTCAATTATCTCTATATAGATGACTCTCAGATGCATATATCAAGCCCCAGTATCTGTCCTGAGTTCCAGTCCCACATCAGCAACTGCTTACCAAATGTTTCAAACTCAGTTTGTCCAAAAGAAAACTCATCATATGCCCCCCCCAACCTCCATATTTAGCTGAGTTCTGAACTTGCCTGTTTCTGTTGAAGGCACCACCATTGTAGTCATGTAAGTTGGAATCCTTGACTCCCCATTTTCCCTCATCCCATAGAGAATCTCGTTGATTCCACTTCTTCCATATACACTGTCTTCCTTTACTTCAGGTCTTGATCACCTCTCAGTCAGACTATTGTAAATTCAGCTCAAATGCCTCTGGCCTTTCCCTTATCTCCCTCTTAGTGAGTACCTTTACCTTAATGACTTTGTGCATAACACACATATACATTATTTCCCCTCAATACAAGGTAAGCTTCTCAATGGTGGAGAGTTTTGCTTCTCATCTTTGCACTCCCAGGGCCTAAGTCTAGTGAGGCTCATCATTAGGATGACTGCAGGGTGATGAATTTTTTGGCCATAGCAATTCGCAAAGTCTGGTATAGGCTCAGGCATAGAAGGGCTTCGATCTGTGTCAATGGAGACAGAGAGAGGAAACAGCACTGATAAAATCATGGAGTTCTAAAATACTGAAATAAGGCACTACCAAAAAACAAATGAGATAGCTCTTGCCCAGAGGCAATTTTTACAATCCTGGTGATATCAGAGCTACGGCAACTCTTCCTAAGAACCAACAGGCACTGTTTGGTAGACAGAGAAAGAGTTTGTTTTTTACACTTGCCAATGTTTGATCCAGAGGCCATGCCTACCATAACCTGCATTCCCATTTTTAAAAATCTACATGATGTTTAGAATGATTTCAACTTTTCCCATCTGCTTAAGTTTTTCCATAGAACCTTCCCACAGGCTCTCAACTATTTTCTTCTCTTTTGATTCGGTCCTGGGCACATGATAAATGTTAATAGAGATGGGCGCTGGAAGGGAAAAACATTCATTAAGTGCCTACTACCTGCCAGATACAGTGCTAAGTGTTTTACAAATATGATTTTATTTGATATGATGAAGTAGGTGCTATTATTATGCCCACTTTATAGCAGAGAAATTGAGGCAGAGATTAAAACACTTGCCCGGGTTTATACAATTAGTGAGTGTGTGAGGCTAGATTTGAAAATAGGACTTTCTGACTTGAGGTCTGGTGCTCTGAGTGCTCTTTGTAAAGTCATGATGTCATGAAAAAAGCATTGGATTCTGGGGGTTAGAAACCCTGAGTTCTAGTCCCAACCATACCAGTAGGGTAGTTACCCAACCTTTCTAGTCCTGTGGTTTTTGTTTTTTTTTTTTTCACCTAATTTGGAGTTAAAAGACCAAGGTTTTGAAACCCCACTGGGCTCCTTAGCACTATGTCAGTGTAAGCTTTTGTTACTATGAAAGAATACTGACAATTTTTTTTTTGATGATTTTTATTTTTTCCTGGGAGTGGTGGAGACAAAACTTTTGGTACTATCTTTTCATGCTCCATACCCCAACTCTGACCAAGCTCTGCCAACACCCACATCCCAAAAGGCACTCATACACCATCCTGACATATTGTATAAGGACAAAACAGTTCTGTATTTTGTGATCCTTTATTGAAGGATCAAGAAATAACATCACTTAATTTATGTTAAAGTTTCTTCAGTCCTTCATACTCTTCCAATTTTAAATCTGATAATTAAATGTGGAGGGATGAGAAGTTAGGATAATACTAAAAATGATCTTGACATAGCAACAAAAATATCAATTATGTGTTCAGCAAGAATAGAAATCCACTAAAAAAACTCTCTTATCAATTAGGCCAGCATAAGGCCTCATGATCAGGTGATACTTATTCAGACTAACTGTGGCCCAGTTTATCATTTAATACTGAGGAAAGCCTGATTTGTTTAGGAGTAACCAAACAAGGATTCCCAACTGAAAGCCATCTCTCTCTCTTCAAATTCTTGATGATTCCTTTGCCCCTCCCATCATATCTAGGTGTATACACAAGCCATCATTTTTCATGTTTGTGTCTCTATCATCTGGCACAGTGGTTAACACATAGTCGTTGCTCAATGAATATTTGCTTCATTGAATGGAACAGAAATGCCCCCAACATGTTGGAGATTGCATGGGCAGAGACTGTTCCATGGACAAACCACTATCTTCCCAAATGGGAAGTCTCCCTTCAATGTACCTTTGCAATCTGAAGGTTCTAGGCAACTGTTCATGAGCCTTTTACCCAAAGAACACTGGGATACCTGGAATGTTTTTATTGCTGCTTTTCAGGAGAAATGAGAACTTGTTTTAGACACACAGCCAGAAAAAAAAGTGTTTCATACAAATGATAGCAAGTAGGCACAGCACTGACTGAACAAAAGTTTAACTTACCCTGAAATTAGCCAAATATATTTGTGGGCACTTGTGCGTACAGAATCTCACACCAGAGTTTCCTTATAATCGATATTCCTCAAAGGTTAGTTACCATTAACAGAATGGATACTTATATGAAGGCCTTTGAGAAGGAAATGAATGAAAGAAATAGCAGCACCCCTTTGGGGTAAAGGACTTTTTACTCCTCAGCATCTCCCTGGTAAGTGAGTGATACAAACACTGTGATGATGTCATGGCCACTGAAGTTCATGGGAAAATGCTATCCTTTATGGACAGTGGAGATTCAGGTATTGGATCAACAGGACCTCCCATAAAACCCTCCCCATTGACATCAGGTGATGCTGTCACACTCCAGAGGAGGGCAGGTTTATTCTGGAAGGCTCTTCTCCTTGAAATGGCAGAAGGATCTTGATTAGATTCCCCAAACCCCAAGGAAATCCCTTGGGACTCTGTAATTCAGGGATCTGAGCCAGGATCATCCAAGGCACCTGTAGGAGCAGGGGCTAAGAAAATGAAAATGACTCTGAGGATCACCATGGCTTCTTCTTTTGGGAACTGGAGATAGAGGTGGGAAGAAACCCTCAACCTGTCAATGTTCTTTACTCCACAGCCACTACAGCCATAGCAGTTTCAGGCACAGTGAGAAGAGAAATGGTCCTGAATAGCTTAAAATATAATTGGCAGGTTTAAAAGGCTTTAAGAAAAATACAGAAATAGTGTAACTTAATGTTGTGCAAACTAAGCACCTCTATGTTGATGGACCAAGGCAAGGGGTGGGTAGTGTGGGTCTGAGGGGACAGAGTTTTTTTTAGCCTTTTCTGTGTCATGTACCCCTTTGGTAAAGCCTATAGGTCCATTCTCAGAATCATGTTTTTAAATACATAAAATAAAATAAAATACACAGCAGAAGACATCAAGTATACTGAAATAAAGATGGAATTAATTTACTTCTCATTTAAGTTCATTGACCCCCTGAAATCTTCCCGAGTTAATAACCTCTATTCTAGGATTTTCCTAGGGCTCAGGGGGACATAGTGAATGGAAGGCATGGTTGTAGGGGATTCCTGTCTTCACTCCTATGAAATGTCCTAGCAATGCCATGGTTTTCAGAGAAAACAGTGACATTTTCTCCTTCACAAAAGCCATCTAACTCAACACTGTACATGTAGACTTTAAAATAGAAAGAGTCAACACATAGTGTCTCTCGAGGTGTGCTAGAGAAAGCAATCTTTGCAGGTCAACATTGATATTTTCAAAGGGAGAGCATTCAGGGAACTCAGAACCATTCAGGTTGGCTCCTAGGACAGTGGAAGCACTATGTCATTCTACAAACTTTGATTTCCTATGAACTTCTAATGGCATCTGGCAAAATAGCCAGGAACTATGGAAGGCAGAAGCCAGGAAGGTAAGGTCTGAGCCCACCAATCAGCAACACAGAATAAGGTTAAAACAAGCTGACGACAAAGTGCCGGACAGAGATCCCACGCCATCTGCATCCGTGTGCCAGCAGCATCTATCCTTTTTTAGCAACTTCTCCTAAGGAAAGCTGGGTGCTTTCCTTAATGAGGCCTATAAGGGTCTAGCTCCCTTTATGCATATTTTTTGGGGCCCTACAGTCCAAAGAAGATTCTCTGGCTGCTCCTAATACCACAGACTCAGAACAGAACATCATTCCACAGAATGAGAAAGATTTTGGGGGGATGAAAAAACATTGGAGATACTCCTTCAGAACAGACGTGTCAAACATATGGCACAGGGACTACATGCAGCCCACAACCCTCCTGAAGGTGATTTAACAAAATAAATTAAAATACAATAGAACATTTGTTGTTCAGTCATATCTTGATGCTTTGTGACCCCATTTGGGGTTTTCTTGGCAAAGATACTGGAGTAGTTTAGCATTTCCTTCTCCAGCTCATTTTACAGATGAGGAAACTGAGGCAAACAGAGTTAAGTGACTTGCCCAGGGTCACACAGCTAGTAAGTGTCTGAGGTCTAATTTACACTCAGGAAGATGAGTCTTCCTGATTAGAGACCCAGTGCGTCATCCAGTGGGCCACCTAGCTGCATTACATAAGTAATGTTAATATGTGGTTTTCTAAGTCATTATGTGACCCCCCCCCACAGACCCTTTTAAATGATTTAGTGGTCCTCCTTCCAATTTGAGTTTGACACCACTGCTCTACAGGTTCAACCTCCTCATTTGACAAATCAAAAAACTCAGTCCCAGAAATGTCAAATGACTTATCTAAGGTAATACAGCAAAAATGTGAAAAAAGGTACACAATTCCATCATCAATGGAACCAAACCTCTAAACCTTCAGAAAGCTTCTTCTGGTAGGTTAATTTTTATTAAACTCACATCTCTCGGATTAAAGGCACATGTAACTAAGGTAAATCTATACTTAACCTTTGTTTTGGGTCATGGACCCCTTTGGCTATCTGGTGAAGCCTATGGACCCCTTCTCAGAGTCATGTTTTCTTGTCTACATTCATAATGGAAGGAAATGTTAAATTCCATTTAGAGGTTAGTGAAAATAAAGATGCAATTTGTTTTCCATCCAGATTCATAGATCCCCTAGAATCTATCCAAGGACACCTTGGGGGTCCATGGACCCCAAGTTAAGGTTTGGACCTCAGCTGGAAGCTCAAAATTTGAGCTTTTTTTGCTAAAAAATTAAGAGCCTTCAGGCAAATCATTTACTCTCCTGGCACTTTGTCTCTGATACCCACTGGAAATGGAAATACTTATCTGCCTCACAAGGAAGGAATGGTAGCAAGAATAAACATTAAATACTGTTCATTTTTAAATTACAATAAGGGTATACCCATTAGCCCACCAAAATGTTTAGACAAATTCATACTTCTGCCATTAGGTCATATTCAGGCTCCAAACAAAATCTACTTCAAGGCACCCCTAGACTCAACTTCCAGAAATGTCTTCTGTCATTTGGGAGTATACATTGAGTCTCTTTGACTGGGGGTGGGAGAGGGAGGTAGGGTAGTGGTCACAGTTCTGAGCTAATCTCAAGTGCGAGAAAAGTTTGGGATGTTCCTCCAATGAGAATGCCAGAATCTTCTTTGCTGCGGGAATGTCACTTGTATTGTCTTTCTGCCCCAGAGAAGATTTCAGAGTCAAGAGGAGCAGTGTTTACCTTCATCTCATTGCCACTGACTGCTGCCTTCCAGGTTCATGGAAGAATCTGGATGAAGCCAGAGGCCTGAAAGAGGATTGGATGACTATGCAGAGAACCTCAGGTCTTATTTGATCATCTGCGTCTCTTCATCAGCATCATAGAACTCATCTTCATTACTTTCACTTTCAAATGGACTCTCCTTGTCTTCAGACTAAAACAGGAAATAAAAAGAGGAGAGTAGCAAAATAATGAGATGGAGTTTCAGAAATGAAAATTAATATCCAAGCCACCCAACAAATAATATGTTTAATGGCATCCTCACTCACTAACCCAGGAATTGGCCTTGAGAAAGCTAACAAATCATCCGTCATCTTTATTTCCCTGAAAATTCATAGCTCTGAGGGCCCAAATAATATTTCTAGATAATCTATCTCAGTTACAAATAATAGGGTTATAGAATGCTTCTTTTTCAAAGTCTACAATTGCATTTAGTGGACTGAAATTATTAAGAAAAATATTAATATACCTGTTCATGATCCAGTACTTGCAAAGATAATGCTTCATCCCCCAGCCTCCGATATGAATACATCTGGAGATCAGACAGTGTTTCCAGCAAAGGTCTGTTTAGGGTTTCTGGCAACAATAAACTGAGAAGCCCAGAAGACAGGCCAGCCACACCAAATACAATGAAAGGTAAAGACCACTGCACATATCTCTGTAACAGGGAAGAAGAATCCCAGTGTGAATTTCCTTTCTAAGCTATTATTGAGCATTAACACTAATTACCATTTATTTTATTACTCCCCACCATAACCAAGGTTGTGGGATCCTTTTGGCCCTTATGGAAAGCATGGGTAAACTACGTGAGTCTTCTTCAGGCATCCGGAGGTATTATTTAATCAGAAAGATCATGTGAGTGCAATCAGGCAGAAGTAGGAGGTTGTTCAGCATAGCTGTGACACACCTGAGGGCAGTTTGGGGGATTCTGAGTCTGTGGTAGAGATGGACGCCTAAGTGTCCTCCTGACACTTTGGTTACCGTTGCAGGAATGTGGGTCTGATCTCAATGGTAGGAAGCACTTACAAGTGTTTTCTACTGAACTATGTTGGCTAGAAGGTAGGTACTTGAGTAATTATTAACTTCTGGCTGCTGGGATAAGCCAATTGCTCCACCTAAGGATACACCTTAACCACATCCTGCCACAGCCCCACCCCCAACATTCAGCCCTTGACAGGACCACACTGGCTGGGCCGAGTGTCATTTCAGCACTGAGTCAAGACTCAGTTAGTAAAATGTGATATTAGGAAATGGATGGGGCTAGTAATAAGGAGCTGGGAACAACTTGAATTAGATAGGGACTGCAAGTGGGTATTTCAGGTCTCAAATTATTCTCTGGGGGAAAAAAATCCCTCCTCCCAAACAAAAAAAAAAAATGGTTCAAACGTCAAAAAGCATTAGTGGCTAAATCTCTGATGGGCATTTCTGGTAAATAGACTAAACTTCCCTTACACGGTGCTTTAAGACTTTGTTGGTTCTGTCTTTTTGTGTTACATCTAAACCTTCCCATAGATCTCACCATTATTAGCTCAGGTCATCCATTCTGATGACTTTTCCTGATGTTTTCCAATTTGAAGGATTATTCCCTCCAAAAAAACCCCAAAACCTCCCTCTATCACCCAGCACACACACCTCCATAAATATACTCTAAGTGCCTGGTGCCACAAGACTGGTATGAATCTTATTTGGCCAGATCAAGAGAAAGATGTTACAAGTATTTTCTTTCTCCTAAAATCAAAAGAAATAAATAGAAATACACGGGTAGATATTAAAATATTCTAGGATATCCATCCAAAGAGAAAGACAACATTAATCAATAGGTAGCTAGTGTCTGGTCCAGCTTTTGAACAAGACATGGTATTTTATGTTAATTTTGAATGTATTTATTTATTTGTGTACATGAGATGTTTCCTCCACCCCCAGTAAGGCACATAAATAAATGCCTTTCTGAAATCAATTGAATTAGTTATGATTCCTTTATAGGGAGGGTCAAAACATGGAAAAATCCATAATGGAGAAGAATATAATGAATGAGATGGGTTCTTGCTCTAAGTTTTTCTGTATTTGGTAATGCCTCATATAAGTCGTTGTTTTTCAAGCATTTTTTTTTTTTCTGGCAGAAGAAATAAACAGCTGCCTTATCCTTCAGGTCCATGTTACACATTGAGTACATTTTCTAAAAGGGACTCTTTGAATCCCTGTAGTGGAGACCCTAGACATGAGACATACCAAAATTCTATTATACAGATTTTCACTGGAGTTTTACTTTGAGTTAGGAACAGAGAAAGGAGAAGAGAGGAGAGGAGAGAAGAGGAGAGGGAGCACTTATTGTTCTTTTTGGAGTCAGGTATGACCTATCTTCAGGATGAACAGAGACTCTTATGTTTGAGGGTCCCCTGGGCTTTGGGTTACATCTTGGAGGGGCAGCATGGTGCTTGGAGTCCGGAAGACCTGGGTTCAAAATGTGCCTCAAATACTTATTAGTTGTGTAAGTCACTTAACATTTTTGGGACTCAGTTTCCTCATTTGTAAAATGAGGAGGTTTAGATTCATTGTCCTTTAAGATTCTTTCCAGCTGTAAATCATTGATCATATGTACTCAGGGAAAGATGACATAATAAAACCATAAAACCAAAAGATGCTGGATTATTTTATTGACATGACCAAACAAAGGAGTGGTTCAAAGAGGTTGTTTTAGAATTAACTGGATTCATAGGATTCAAATAATCAAACAGAGCTCAGTTAGTACCACTAGGAAAAACACTGAAGCGAAGTGACTAGACTTCCGGCCATAGAACAGTTGGTTAGAAAATAAATCACAGGTAGGAAAGAAGAGAACAGGCTCTGACATGAAATCACTTTTTAGAGTTGAAAGGGATCTGAAAATCCTAGTCTAACTTCCTCATTATGACTCAGAAATTTGGAGATGTAACACAATGCTGTGAACTCACCTCTACTTGCCCTAGCTGAATTGGTCAGTCCACAAGAACAGGAAGAGCTTTTTGGTCTATTTCAGCCAAATCCCCAAGGCTGCTTCCCTATCAAATTCAGGCTGTAAACAGACAGAATTTGGAACTGGAAAAGAAAGTTCTTCCTCCAATCTCCATTTTTTAGAAATGAAACCCAGAGACTTGCTCAGTGTCATGCAGCTAGTGAGTGGTGGAAAGTGGGACACATCTGGGTTTCCAGACTCTCAATTTATATCTCTCTCCTCTATAACAGGAGGCTCCTCATCCTTGTAGAGATAATAGATATGGAGATAAGGAGGCTAGGGTAGGTAAAAGACAGGAAGAGTTCATCATCTTTAAAGCAATCCTGGTCACATAGGATAAAACTACTCACTTTTTAAAATATTTATCAACTTAACACAAAAGTCAAGTAAAGCTGAACATAGTTTATCCAGTGAGCTGAAGATATTTGCTAACAACTTCCTGCTAAACAAACAATAGTGTCAAACAGGTAATGCTGGGGTCACAGGAGGAAGGGATTGACTTGAAATAGATGTGGTCTCAATGGTAAATCCAGAAATAAATATAAAATGGCCGCCTAAGGGAAGAATACCTATGATTTAATGAAAATACTACCAAGCCATCACTGACAGGACACATATGTTTGAATTACTTTTTCTTCATTGATCCACTAACATTCTCTTTGGATTATGGGCTATGAAGCTGGGGAGGGCCTTGGACATCATTTAGTCCAACCCCTTCTTTTTTGAGGTCTAGAAAAGAGAAATGAATTTTTCAAGGTCATAAAGTAGTAAACAAGAGTTAAGATTTGAATCCAGGGCCTTTGACTGTAAACCCAGTGTTCTTTTCAAGAGTGTTGTTCCTCCTCACCTCTGAAGAGGAAAGGCTGGCAGGAATCAGGGGTCCTTTTGGGTGACATGCAACAGAATGAAGATGAAACCCTTGAGGAGAGGGGGTTGGCTAATGGCTGCCATAGCACAGAGCTCACTGGTCCCAGTCACAAAAATTGAACTAAGATTTAAAACAAGTACATAATCAATGCCCCAAAAGAAAAAACAGGTCTGGGGGGACACATGATAGCTCATTTATGTAGATTTATTAAGAGTATCTCTTTAATGACTTCTTCAGGCTCATGGCACAGAGAAAACTACTACTAAAGCAAAAAAATCTGGAAAGAGAAAGCCAAAAGGTACAAACCAACCAGTGAGGGAATGAAGGGAGCGATAATCCCACCAACTCTGGAAAACATCGAACACATACCTAGTCCAACATTCCTGAAATGAAAGACAAAAGATCAATGGCACTTTCAAGGAAAGATTTAGAGAGTTTGTTTGTTTGTTTGTTTTTTTTTAAGCAACACAATAAATACATAGGAGCATCCAAAACCAAGACAAAACCCTTAGAAATTACATTAACCATGGTGTTCACAAATCCTGCAAACTTTATAGCTACTGTCATCTATAATGTTTTGGAAATATTTATCATAGTCAAGAAGTAGATAAGGCAGTAAGAAAAATTGGTACCTAAAAGTCCTGAACAGAAATTTTTTTAAAAAATGAATTGGAAGATGACATGACTTTCAATGATTCAAGGAACAAAGAAAAACCACCAAGATAAAGTAAACCAACTGGAAAACCTTGATCTCTGCATAATTTCTCTTGGTCTAGACAAATAAACCACATTACAAGTGTATTCTTAGCTCCTCAGTGTTCCCTAAATGTTGCCCTACTACCTCCCTACCAGAGATCAGGCCTAGAACTTATTTTCATTGTATTAATACTGATCCTATGCTTACTTGCTGTGTTCTTTCACCACAAACCAAAGGATCCTCCCCATCAGCAACTTTCAGAAATCCTAAAAACTAGAGCTGTCTTACAATGGAATGGGCTACCTTGGAAGGAAGAGCTAACTGAAAACCTCCAAGAAAAGAGCAGTAGATCTACAATCCAAAGAACTGCATTTGAATCCCCACTCTGCCACCGCCTCTGTGATTTTGCTAAGTCATTCAAATAAATCCTCTGGGCCTCAGTTTCATTTGTACAATGGTATGAAAAAACAAAGTGAGACAAGGTTATCCCTATCCCTATGATCCTTTCTTTTTTTTTAAAAAAAAAGTTATTTTTCTCAATTACATGTAAAAACTATTTTTAACATTTGTTTTTTTTTTAATTTTGATTTCCAAATTCTTTCCCTTCTTCTCCTCCTTGAGAAAGTGGACAATTTGATATAGATTATACATGTGCAGTCATGCAAAACATTTTTACATTAGCCACGTGCAAAAGAAAACACAGACCAAAACAAAACACAAAAACCAAGAAAAATAAATAAAGTAAAAAAAGTATACTTTGATCTGCATTCAGACTCCATCATTTCTTTCTCTGGAGGTGGATAGCATCATAAGTACTTCTGAATTGTCTTGTATCATTATATTGCTGAGAATAGCTAAGTCATTCGTAGCTGATCATCATACAAAATTGCTGTTATTGTCTACAGTGATCTCGGTTCTGTTCACCTCACTTTGCATCCATTCATGTAAGTCTCCCAGGTTTTTCTGAAAGCACCCTGCTTGTCATTTCTTATAGCACAATAGTATTCCATCACAATCATTACCACAACTTATTCAGCCATTCCCCAATTGATGAGTATTGTCTCAATTTCAAAAAGAAAAAAATAAAAAATTCACAAAAAAGCTGCTATAAATATTTTTGTACAGATATATCCTTTCCCTTTTTCTTTAATTTCTTTGGGATATAGACCTAGCAGTGCTATTGCTGGATCAAAGGGTAATGCACCGTTTTATAACTCTTTGAGCATAGTTCCAGATTGCTCTCCAGAATGATTGGATCAGTTCACAACTCTACCAACAGTGCATTAGTGTCCCAATTTTCCCATATCCCCTCCAACATTTGTCATTATCTTTTTCTGTCATATTGGCCAATCTGGTACCTCTGAGGTAGTACCTCAGAGTTGTTTTAATTTGCATTCCTCTAATCAATAGTGATTTAGAGCATTTTTTCCTGTGATCTTTTCAAACAAAAGAAAATCCAAGAACCATTTATGAACTAATAAGGTCCTTGGTCACTGGGCCTGTACCCATGATTTTCCTAAATGATGGTAATAGCAGGGCTGTAAGGTTGTCATATACTTTTACTCATTTGATCCCCACAAAAGTTCTGTGACATAGGTAATGTGAATGTTATTATCCTTATTTTAAAAATGGGAAAACTGAGGCATGGAACAGATTGGATAGTTTGCCCATAATCATACAGCAAGTGAAGGTTAAAAGTAGGGTTTGAGCTCAGGGATCTCCTAACTTCTGGTCCAGTTCTATGTCCCCTCCATCATGCTGTTTCTCTTATTGGGACTTCAGGGGCAATATCACCCGCAGCAGGGAAGGTAGAAGTATCTGGTATTATTTATGAGACCACTAGAAGGGACAGAAGACATGCCTGAAGACTGAGAGAGGTAAGGTAATGTATCGTTCATATTTGGAACAGACGATATAATTTTAAAAGGCTAATCCTGAAGAGTGCGGACCAGTCTGTTTGCCTTCACTGACTCGAATAATAGACTTAATTAAAAAAATCAAGAATTCAGTGGTAGCTTGTTGGTGTTGTTCAGTTGTTTTTCAGTTGTGTTCATCTCTTCACGACCCCATTTGGGGTTTGGTTGGCTAAGATGCTGGAGTGGGTTGCCATTTCCTTCTCCAGCTCATTTCACAGATGAGGAAACTGAGGCAAACAGGGTGAAGTGACTTGCCCAGGGTCACACAGCTAGTAAGTGTCTGAGGCTGGACTTGGATTCAGAAAGAGAAGTCTTCCTGACTCCAGGCCGGTGCTCTGTCCACTACACCACCTAGCTGCCCAGTGGCAGCTTAGACATGAGCTACCAAGTGTCGAAAAGAATGGTGGGTCATTGTGGACTACAAAGTGAATACATAACAGTAATGATTTTTAAAAAGTGAATAACATATTTGGGTTTATTAAAATTAGTAGCTACTGAAAAGATTAATAATAATAAACATGTATCTAGTACCTACTATATGCCAGGCACTGGGCTAAATGCTTTTTATAAATATCATCTCATTTTCTCTTCCCAACAACCCTGGGAGGCAGGTGCTGTTACTATCCTCATTTTATAGATGAGAAAATTTAAGTAAACAGAGGTTAAGTGACTTGCCCAGGGTCATACAGCTGGTTAAATATGTGGGGCTAGATTTGAACTCAGATCTTCTTGACTCCAGACCTGTTGCTCTATCCACTGAACCACCTAGATGCCCTCTCTTTTTCTTCTGGTGCTGGATAGGACCTCATTTTAATACTGAGTCTAGATTAGAGCTCTGGACTTTAAGAGGGACATAGAGAAAGCAGAAGAAGACACAGCGGTCATTGGAATGCACTCCGTGCTCACCTCTGCCTCTTGCAATCCCTCGCTTTCCTCAAGGCTCAGCGCAAACATAACTTCCTGCATGAAGTCTTTTTTGACCTCCCCATTTGCTAGTGCTACCCCCACCAACCAACTCACGTTACTTTCGATATATTTTGCATATACTTATATGTATACAAAATTTTTTTTGCCCTGCTAAGATATAAGATCCTTGAAGCTAGGGAATATTTGCTTTTCATCATTGCATTACTAGAACCTAACACTACGTATTTTGCACATAGTAGGTGCTTAATAAAGCTTGTTGAATTGAATCTAATAGGTAAGGCCAGATAGTACAAAGCAAAAAAACAAAAACAAAAACAAACAAACAACCATTCCCTTTTCCCCATTTATATCAGGACACTTAGTCCATAACACCCATGGGATCCAAGCAAAAACTGTTTTCCCCACACCAGTGACAACCTTTTCAAGCCAGTTTTACAGGTTTAAAAATGCTGGAGTGTCAGCTATAAGACAGGGAGGTATTTACCTGAAGCTTAAGGATCTTGAAAGAAGACTTTGCAACCAACACAGACTGCCTAGATAAGGGTTTTTTGATGGTTACGTACCTGATGACTGTTGGATAGAGTTCCGATGTATAGATGTAAACAATGTTAAAAGCAGCACTGATGGTCAGTTTCCCTAATAAAGACAAGGAATGGCTATTCACCACTGCAAACACTCCTGTGTCTGGAAAAGAAAAGGCAGTGCGACGTAGGAGATCATTAGCAGAGATGAAAATCCTTAAGTTACATAGTTACTTAGGAAAAGAATAGGAGGCTTTAAAGGCAATCCCAAAGGGTAGGATGGCTGTAGTCTCTAATTTAGGGAGAAGATTCAGAAATCAAGAGGTGGACATTTGCCTGTCTTCCAGTTACAGGCATCATAGCTTCCCCAGAGCATGACAGTTACTAAATGTGTCCAGCCTCCAGTTCTGACCACCTGCAGTAGCCACCTGCAACCTCCATATATGCAGTCTATCAAGCTAGTCAAGGCCAAAAAGTATTTGATTTAAGGAACTAATCCATACCACCTTTATATCTTGTAGTATACTTAAGAATGGTAAAAGAATTGCAGTCTCACAATTGAAAGGGAAGGAAAAGAATGGGGGAAGGGAGTAAGCATTTACGTAGCACCTACACAGCACTACATAGTGCCTTGTTCAATTGTTCCAGTCGTGTCCAACCCTTCATGACCCCATTTGGGGTTTTCTTGGCAAAGATACTGGAGTGGGTTTGCCAATTCCTTCTCCAGCTCATTTTACAGATGAAGAAACTGAGACAAACAGGTGATTTGCCCAGTATCTGAGGCCAAATTTGAACTCAGGTCTTCCTGACTCCAGGCCTAGTATTTTATCCACTATGCCACCTACCTACCCATATAATGCTGATAAAGCTTCAGGAGGAAGTGTTAATAATCATAATCAGAGCTACTATTTACATAGTACTTACTATGTGCCAAGCCCTGTGCTAAGAGCTTTTAACAAATATTAACTCATTTGATCTTCACAACAATCTGGGGAGGTAGGTACTATTATGACCTCCATTATAGAGTTGAGGAAACTGAGGCAGACAGCAATTAAGTGACTTGTCCAGGGTCATGAATATGGTAAGTGTCTAAGGCAGGATTTGAACACAGTTTTTCCTGACCCCAAGCCCAATGCCCTATCCACTGCACCACTAGCTGCCTCAGGGACTGATTAGTACCACCTCTACCTACCCAAGAAAAATCTCCCCTACAACATCCCCATCCGGTGATCACGCAACTTTTGCTCCATATCAAGACTTCCAGTTGGGGGAGAGGTTTGGGAGACTTACTCCTTCCCAGGATGGCCTATTTTATTGCATTCAGTAGCCACCACTCCTGAAGACCCTGAAAAGGAAGTTTTCCATGCCAAAGTCCTTGGCAGTATCAGATGATTCAATGTCAGAAACAGAGTTTTCTCAGTGAAAATGTCACTTAAGAAGATGCATTACCATCCGCCTTGCTTCTGTATCTTAAGGACCAATGAGCCTTTCCATTTTCCCTGCAGCTGAGGCTTCCTATATAAACTGTCTTCCCGTAGTCAAACGTGAACTTCTTGAGAGTAGAGACTATCTTATTTTTTCTATCTTGGACCCCATCACTTAGCACAGTGCCTAGCACACCATGGACGTTACGTAAATGTTGTTGTTGTTTAGTCGTGCCCAACTCTTCGTAACCTCATTTGGGGTTTTCTTGGCAAAGACACTGGAGGGGTTTGCCATTTCCTTCTCCAGATCATTTTACAGATGAGAAAACTGAGGCAAACAGGGTTAAGTGATTTGTCCAGGGTCACCCAGCTAATGAGTGTCTGAGGCCAAATTTGAACTCATGAAAATGAGTCTTCCTGATTCTAGGCCCAGTTCTAGGGTGCCACCAAGCTGTCTGAGATATTATTAATGCTTCCTCCTAAACTAATTCTGCCCACTGTGATAACTTCTATACACCTATGATCCCATAGGCTCGTATATAACAATTTTCCCTACAGCAAACCATCCCAAATTTTTGGAAAAGAATCCTGGCCCTTGCTTTACATGCCTCGTGAAAAAACAAACAAACAAAAAAACAAAACAAACAAACAAACAAACAAAAACCCACAAAACCCATTATGGGGAATCCACTGAACAAGCACTGACTCATGTCTTTTTTTTTTTTTTTTTTTTTAGGCAATTGGGGTTAAGTGACTTGCCCCAGGGTCACACAGCTAGTAAGTGTCAAGTGTTTCGTCTGAGGCTGGATTTGAACTCAGGTCCTCCTGACTTCAGGGCTGGTGCTCTATCCACTGCACTGCTTAGCTGCCCAGACTCATGTCTTTTAGCCTTTGCTCTCCAGGATATTTGGTTGGGCTTTAAACTGTTTCTTTTTTTCTGAGCTAAAAAGAGAACAAACCAACTTTAACCATTATTCCCCCAAAAAACTAGTGAGTCAGTATAATGAGTTGGGGCAGAAAGGTAGCCCAGAGAGGTGCATTCACCTGCTGGGTTCTGGAAATGATCTTTGGAAATGACGTACAATGAAGTCTTCTAGACAGCACCTGAGTGGAGGTACTGCACATTTTTGGCAGCATGTTAAGGGCTCACCGCCCCATAGTTTGGATTCTTAAGCAAAATCCTTACTGAAAAAATAGCATCAAAACATCCCCAATAGGACCCACATAATGATAGCTAAGTCTGGAAATGGTCACAAATGTCACAAATGACATTTGGGACCATTAAGCTAAAGCCAGGAGCAGACCCCTAGAATTATGATCACAGAGATTTACAGCAGGGAAGGACCTCAGAAGCCATAATGTCCACTCCCCTCATTTTACAGAAGAAGCAATCTCCAGCATTCTTGAACGAATATTATCGGATGTGGTTCTCCCCCTGCCCACAATCTGGGCTTGGCGGTAACATAATGTATGGTCTAGGAGTGCTTTGCATGTCACCCATAGGCTTGCTTCTTTTAATTCCTCTGCTTCATTTCTCACTTGCAAATGAAGTCCTTGCTGTCAGCAGCTCTTACTGGGTGTGTAACTTGTGGCTATTAAATAGTGACCTAGAACTTGATTTCCCAGAAACTATTGCACTCTTCTATGTTGTCACTCTGGGAGGCTTTGCACTTTCAGATCTCTTCTTTGGAAGTTGCCAGCAGAGTCCATTTACAAGCCAAGAACTAAAATAAAGTTCATTGTTTTCTACTTTCAGTTTTTACCTTAACTGCTTCACCAAGGTGATTCCTTACCTTACTCCCTAGACTTGACACTAAATAGCTATTGATTGTTTATATACACACATAAAATTCACCTTGAAAAGCGTGTTAATTTGTTACCAGCGAGAACATTCAAAAGGAAAATGTGCTGAAGGCTCTGAAGGTAATTCCAAAAATGGGCTATAATCATAGAATTAAGTGTTTAACTTCTTAGAGAAATTACTTTGAAGGGAGCAATGCTTGAAAAGCAAGCACTAGAATGTTAAAAATTCAGTCTCATTCTCTTATGGTCACCCCTCACATGCTGGTGTGAGGTCTGACTTGACCGGCAGAGGTTAGGACCCAGCAGAGCAAGTGGGTAAGAAAAGGCCTGGGATGATGATAAAGCTGTTTTGTTTTGTTTTTTTCTAGCTGAGGAACCAGCTTTTTAAGTGGTAGCTACAGGAGGTGAAATTTGGAATAGCAAGGTCTTAATGGTAAGACTGGACATAGGTCTGGCAAAACTCATTTTGAAAATAAGATTCACGTACTTTTAAGCTAGGGAAGGCAAAAGTGAATGTTTTACAGCGGCCCAAATCTTCTGTGGCTAAAGATGGGGGAGTTAAGAGGGAAAGATGGGGGGAAAAGATAGAAAACCCTTAGGAGTGGGAATGTTGGAACCAGACTGGTCCATGAAATGGTAATGGACAGTGCTAAATGAATTACCTTGTTAAATCTGCCACCATTATGAGGCAGCCAGGGAGGGCATAGGCTTCAAAAAAAGGCAGACTAGAGATTTGATAGAACAGAATACAGCCTTAAAGGCATTCTTTATAAAAATGTCTCCTATGCACATATTAAGATCAGATGTTATTCCTTAAAAGATGGGACAATAAAGAATGTTGACAATCCTGATTGTTAATATGAAGCAAGTGGTAAAACAGGGAGATGTACGCTTGCCAAAGGTAACTATCATTGTCAGGTAAATCCAGTTCTGAGTGCACATGGAAGAAACATGGTGAGAGTTTTCTGTTTCAAATAACAACCTGCTGATAAAACCAAGCCTCAAGACGCTGTACAGATTCTAAATGGAATTCATAATCACTCCAAAGAATTTTGCTTAAGAATTTACACAAGAAAAAACAGATGGATAAAGAATGTATATTGTCCAAGTCTATGTTGTTCAGTCATATGGACAACCCTTTAAGCTGGTCCATCAGTACGTATATCTCTTAGCATTTATAGTTTTGAAACACAGAAATAATCTATCTCAGGAACTCATACAATTCTTTGTTTCCCTGGAAATTTTCACATATTGGCCAGATGTCCACTTCTCTGGAGCTGATCTGGTGCCACCCCACTCACTGAGGCACACCAGTGTGGTACGTAAAGATCTATTAGAAAGAATCATCAAACATAGTTGGATGGGATAAGGTAGAACAATGTGATGATACTAAGTGAATCTGTCATCTCTTTCATTCGGAATTTCCCTCCAGCAAAGTAGATCACCACCCACCCATTCCAGCCACACTGTATGAATCCATCTGATGTCTGCCACAGGGGATCTTCTCAATGTGCCAGAAGCCTTCCTTCTTTTCTCCTCACTTCATGAGGTTATCAGTAGAATGCTCTTGCTGTCCAGATGTCCTACTTCACTTCTGCCATATGACCCGTTCGTCTTCTCTTCCTATCATATGTTTCTCTGAGATACCTTTTACTCCTGTTCTTCTTTGAACTTTCTTACTACTTAGATGTTACAGGCTGTAACCTTCACCTTTCCATTGACCTCCATGGGATATTCATTTTTAAATTCTTCAGAGACTGCCATATGTCATGTCTTCCAATCATGCTTCAACATTGGTAGAATGTTGGTATTAAAAAATGTGAACCTTTGTTCCCATAAGAATATTGGGGTCATTAAAGAGCTTTGTAATTTCTTCAAAGCAATCCAGTTTACACTCTTTGTCCTTGTCAATTATGATTCCAATTCACTGTACATTTGTATTCTCTGTCCCAGATAGAGATCTAGTTAGATATCCTGATGGGTAGGGTGTCCATTCAAATATATGTCATAATCTGGGCAACAGACATTCTTCATCCACTTGGTTTTTCCTGTGTAGATGGTCAGGTTAAACTCTCTGAGAGGTTTTAATTTTTTGTTTTGTTTTTGAGGAGGTTCTGTGATGTTCCAGCGCTTTATGTAGCCTGTACCATGTTATCTACATCTGTATATTTTCCATTTTCATTCTTAAATACTCTGGGTATGACACTGTTTAGTTGTACCTCTTTTCAGCATTTTAAAAAATTGTTTTACTCTCCACTGCTACTCTCTGTTGTACGAGACAATGCTGTTCATAATAACCTATTATCCTTCTTCATAAGATTTTACAAATGAGTTTATTTCCTAAAGATTTTGCTTTTGGTCAGTACCTTTCTCCATCTGGTAAAGAAAAAAAATTAAGCACCTGCTGAATAAAGAACATTCTGAGTTCTTTAGTTCTTATTGTGGCAACAGATTTACAACAGTTATATTTTTATAAAATTATTATAATCAGTGTTGATGTAGTTTCTTTTGTTTATTTCCCATTTTTTCATGTGACAAGAAGTGAAAGGGCTCAGGACAACCTCCTGAAATAAATAGAAAATGACAAGGGAGATGATTGTAGGTCTAGATTTGGGGGTGGGAATTTGAATGCATTCTTGGTCTTATTTTTTGAGGCATCACATGGGTAAGTTCAGAAAGGGCCATTGTGTAAAGGTCCCGGTGGTTTGAATCAATCCAATTGTATACCTTAGGAGAAAAGATCTACTAGCGTGGCAAAGAATTTTTCAACACAAAGATTTAATAAGGTAAATAGGAGCTAATAAGAGAGTAAGGGAACATAAATGAAGAGAAGGGACAAAGAGGCTTAAAATTGTAGGGTCTGGACAGGAAGGTCCTGAGAAGTTCAGGAGAATTTAAACAGCCAGGTGATGTGCTTAATAAATATTTGCAGTCTTGATTTGACATAGGGTCAGATTGGGAGGGTTATGTGAACATTTTCATTATGTATTTGATTTAATTCAACAAATACATAAGTGCCCGTTGTATGCTTGGTGCTGGGGGACTGGGGTGAAACCTGGCCAAGGCATTCTGGTTTATTCTGCATTTGTTCAGGGAAGTCTGATATTAATCCAAATTAATCTAAATTTTCAACAGTGAGGGGAAGTGTAAACGAGGAAGGTAGTAGGGCCATCTTCTGATATTTTACTCTCTTTTTTTCCTAACAGTTCCTGGGCACTGGGTGTACAAACAAAAGCTCAAGGAGGAGAGCAATGTCTCTTTTATACCTTTATTTTATAATTGTAAAATCTGCCAAAGAATTGGAAATGTGAAAACCACCTGATGAGATGAATTCTAAGTCCCGTTCTGTTTTTTAAAAATTTAAAAAAAAATAAAGCATTTAATAACAACAAACCTATTATAAATCCCATCCAATGAGTAAGCTGTTCTATAGACATAAGTCAGAAAGCCACTATCATTTTGGTGAGCATCCCATGAATGCATAGTCTCATGTTAGATTCTGTGAGAAGCTGCAAAGGAAGAAGGATACACAGTCTCTGACCTCAAGTAGTTTATAGTTTGGACCCACAGATCCCACTGGACCTGAGGCAATAGTAATTTCCTCCAAAAGGTATCTAATAAAATATTTTCACCTTTTAGTTTTTTGTTGTGCAGCTAGGTGGCGCCATAGTGCACAGAACACAGCCTGGAGTCAGAAAGACCACAGTTCAAATACAGCCTCAAACACTAGCTGTGTGATCCTGGGCAAGTCATTTAACCTATATTTGCTTTAGTTTCCTCATTTGTAAAGTGGGGATAATAATATCGCCTACCTCCCAAAGTTGTTGTTAGGATAAAATGAGATAATATTTGTTAAAAGCACCTAGCACAGTGCCTAGCATATAGTAAACACCATATAAATGTTAGTTATTATTGTTATTTCACCCATGAAGAAAGCACCAGCATTAGGACTGACATCTAAGTTGATCTTCCATAGTGGCTATGGCTTTGCTCTAAATCAGATGCCTAGCACCTATCAGTGTCTGGCACACAGAATAGTATCAGAGAATTAGAGAGGTCAGGAAGTCTAACCTCTTAATTTTTAAAGATGAGGAAACTGAGCCCCAGAGAGATTAAGTGACTTTCCCAGGCTCACAGAGCTAATGTTTAAGGTGGGCTCTGAACCCGTCTTCTTGTCTCCAGGTCCAACACTCTCTCCGCTGTATCACAAATGCTTATTGATTGATAGATCTTGCCTAGGCCTCCTCATAGCCAATACTGTACATTAAGAGTTGGCTGCTTCAGACTAGGGGTATGATCCTACGGCTACAAAACAGAGATTTTCTCTGTGGGAAGCTAACAGGTCTTTATCATGATCCAATTAGTAAACCTGGCCTCACTAGTGTGATGTTTTAGCCACCCAGATGGTAGCTTAATAGCCTGAAAGAATTAATAACGCACTGCTCAAAGTTCATCATTCACTCAAAGAACCGCTGACTCACCGGGAAGGATCTGGTCCATTATGTCCTACACAATTACTAAAGAATATGCTGTCAGAGAAATGAAGCGTGGCATATGGTAGACTGTTCCAGGCTAAGATCTGCCATTATCAAAGTGCTAACAAAAAACCTGGCAAGAAAAATAAAAACAATGCACCTTTTTTTTCAGGAAGAAACATGACAATAAGACAGGCCAGTCCTCCAAGGCACAGAAAAACTGCTAAGGTCCGCTTGCGACCAAACCTAAAGGAATCAAAACAGACGAGACATTCTTATTAATTATCTCCTAAATCCATCTGTTCCTCCCTACCTGGCCTTTTCTTTGGTTTCCTCTGGTTTTGCTGTACGTGTACATATACACACATGTATATCATCTAGATACACACATATGCATGTGCACAGATGTCTGTGCCTTTCTTATTCAATACAATGCTAACTGAAGGTGACCGGGAGTCAACACAAATAGAACAAAATCAAGGAACATTTACTGGATGACAGGCACAAATAATGCCAAGACATTAACGAGCCGGCAGAAGATGTCGCTGGAGCACACACTGTCTTAACTGTTATTGATTTTGGCAATACGCATCACATTGCCAATACTGCTAAGATGGTCAATCGCCATTTTCCCATAGGTGTGCCATTAAACTGGACAGGCACCAGGCTTTCAGAATGACCCCTTAAACACGTCGGAAAAGAGCTATGACATGATTAGCCTACTTAACTGGTGGTATGATCAGTCAATTCTGCCCAAACAAAGGATGGTTTGTGGTTTGATAACCTTTGAGAAAGAGTGGGCTTATTGCCAGTGTAGTGACGCTAAGCCAAGTGTTCTTAACCTGGGGTCTATGGACCCCACAGGGGCTCCATAGATAATTTCAGGAAGTCAGTGAACTTAGATGGGTTAAATATATACATATATATATATTTCACATAAATATATATACACATATATATTTCACTAACCTCTAACTTAAAGTTAGCATTATTAAAAATTACTTAAAAAGTATGACCTGAGAAGTTCTCTGTAGGTTCCATAGACTGCCAAAGGGTTCCATGAGACAAAAAAAAGTTATGAACCTTTGCATTAATCAGAAATAGTCTAAGGATAGAACACAATAAGTCTGATAAAGAAGCTAAAAACATGAGGGGACTTTCAATTAACCTCATAAGACATCCCTAATATGGAGGCAATAATCTCAGGAATAGCTACCTCATGGGGTTGTTATTGTGAGATTGAAATGAGATAATGCATGTCAAGAATTTTACAAAACTATAAAACCCAGTTATTATTATCAGAGTTATTATGTAAAACATTTATCCTAGAAGCAAGTTCTTCATATACAAGTGGAACATTCCCAAGTTAGGGGTTCATTTGACACTGAAGCAAACTCAGAGAAGATTCTACTCCCCTCTTCATGTAGCTATGTTACTTCAACAAAAAAATGAAAACAATCTCTATAATTTAGGCCTAAATGCTATAACAATTTACTTTTCTTTAATTTCAACTTTCCCATACATACAGAACTCAGAAGAAAAAAAGATCTTGTGGAGTAAACATGTCTGTAATCACGCTCACGCAGACATCTGTGGAGTAAGCATGTCTGTAGTAACGCTCATGCAGACACGTTATTTGTAAAAACCCTCACTCAGAGCCTATTGACGCTTTACTTTCCCCACAATTGTAATGATCTGTTTTCCAAGCCCATAGTAAATATGAGTCAGCAAAAAAAAAAAAAAAAAAATAGAAGCAGGGGCTGTTTAAACCAGACACAATGGAAGCAAGCAAGATGTGACTTTTGACAGCAAAGAAAGAGAGGTAACAACAGAGTACCCCAACCCCCAGTATCTGAGCAGCCTGGGGTCATTTAGTACAGGGGGAGGCAGGTGTATACATCTCAACAGTCCCTGAGGGTATCAGCCCAATACAACTGATGATTCTAAAGTCATGCTTGAGCCAGCCTCAAATAAGAAGGCAGGAAGTGTGTGCTATGTTTTAGTGGAGACGGGTTTGCAATCTCATAAAAACGATCAAAACAAAACAAGTTTTGCCTCTTAAAGGACAAAGCTTTGGTCATTAGGAACATCCACTTTTATTGGAAGAGCTCAGTTTCCCAAAGATGCCAGATAAGTAAGGTGTCAGTGTGAGTTCTTAAAAGCAGACTCCCTGGGGAAATAAAAGCGTATCACTATTAACCATCACCACTGGCACTGGTTTTATGGTGTACAGTGACTACCAATCTCTACTAAAGGCCTAATCTGATGTCTCATTTTTGTGGGAAGGGGAGCCTGGAAGGCTGTGCCAGGGAGATGGGGGCAACATCAAGTCCTCCCAAGCTGGAAAGACGTCCTGTACATGCCCAGGGATCGTCTGAAGATCCGTCATCCAAGGACTACTGTTGACAAGGTTGGGGCAGCTCATTAATGGGGAGTTAGTCATTGAACAATAATATTTTTGGGGGGGAATTGGGGGGGGGTAATAGCAACTCAATAAACCAGACAGTAAGGCAGAGCAGGGTTGGTAGAGAAAGCATCTACATGGATGAAATCACCCATGCACAAAAAATTGAAAAAGTGCCGTCTAAAGGCTTGAAAGAAAAGCCACATTTTCTTTTTAAAATACATATTTACCGATATCTTTTACTTTTATATCGCCTAAATGTCCCCCTCCCTTCCTCTCCCTCCCAGAGAACCATCCCAAATAACGGCTTCATATTTTCTAGAGGTCACTTTCATTCATATCGGCCTTCTGCCCTCCTTACTCACACTCACCATAATTCACTTACCAACTCTCTTGTCTTTACTTTTCTCGTTTGTCTATCCATTCACCCTGTCTCTTTTCCACCACTCAAGCCATGGATACTTTCACTGACCTAGCTGCATAAACTTCTGAAAGTATGAAACTCTATGTGCACATCCTTGAGATAAGTCTTGGAACTTCAAGTCAGAAAATGTAGTTTTCTATCCCAGCTCTGTTGTAAACTACCTGTATGGCCTTGAGAAAACTATTGAGTTTCTCTGATCTCACTCCTGACATTTGTGAGATGAAGGGGTTGGACCAGGATTTCTTTCAGCCTTAAATTCTATGATCCAAATTTGAGGCTTAGTCCCTAGGAGGTAATAACAGTATTTCCCATTGATAGATAGCTTTAAGGTTTATGAAATAGTACGAGTATTATTATTATCTCCATTTTACAGATAAGGCAAATGAGGCTCAAAGGACTGGGAGACTTACTTTTCCAGGCTTTTCATGCTTTATTCCCTTCGATATGCTTCATGATCCAGCTACGTAAGCTTATTTGCAGTTTCTCAAATACAACTTACTCCCATCTCTCATCTCTGTACCTTCACACCGGTTCTCCCTCATACCTGGAATGCTCTGTCCCCTTACCACGATTTATTGGCTCCTCCAGGATTTGGTTCACATCTCATCTCCTGCTGGAAGCCTTTCCCAGTCCCCTGTAACTACACATACCTCCCTTTTCAGATCACCTGCACTCTATTCTAAACATATCTTGTATATACTGAGTTACTGACGTGTTGTCTTCCTTATTAGAAGGGTGGGAGCTGTTTTTGCCTTTTTTTGTAATCCCAACACTTAACATAGCCCCTGGTGTATAGGAAGCGCTTTAATAAATGCTTATTAACTAGCTGACTTGCCTCAGGCCAAGTAATTAGTAAATTCTGGAAATGATTTTCAAGTCTTCTGACTCCAAGCCTAGCGATTCTCACAAATGCCTCTAAGCATGAGATATAGACTGACTAAAGGTGACTGGGGGCATACAACCTTAAAAACTGGCTCAAAGTCCATTGATACAGACAACAGATAGCCAGCCCATCCTTAGGACCATCTAATATATGGACTGCAAGCTCCATGAGGTCCCAACCTGTGTCTTATCTATGCATGGTACCTTCTAGGTAAATATTCTGTCAATATTAGATGTTTAATGAGCATTTGTTGAATTGAATTAAATTTCAAGGGCATTTAAGAGCCCCACGGAAGCTCATGCCTCGCTGGGTAATGATCCAATGTAACTCTACTCTTATCAGTAATTCAAGTGAGGATTTTGTCGGTTTGCCGAGACTGTGGGAAGCAAGTATAGGAGGTGGGCTAAGTGGTTTGCGGGGCTGTTTTACTGGGCTGGGTATCTGGCCGACTGCCATTCCCCAGCTCATTAAAGAACACATCCCTGCCTCAAAACAGACATCTGGCAGCGAGAGAATGAACAAATAATCCCACACCCACAGCCAGCCCTGCTGAGACCCCATTCTGTTTCTCCTCTAATTCCTCTGTGTTTTCTGGACCTGGCTCAGCACTTTGGGGGACCAATTTTTGTCTCTTCTCCCTGGTGCTCTTGAAGCATGACTTTCTTCTCTGCTACTACTTCAGACTAAACTCTTTTGGCAAAACACCGGGGCTCAGAGGCCAACCAGGCCCAGGTGTTCTGCCCTGGTTATTGCTGCTACTGCTCAAGCTTGGCTGAGTACCTGACTTTGAAGTGGTTTCTGGCCGGAAAGAACCACGGCTACGCAGTATGCTCATTGGTTCAGAATCCATTCTATGGAAATGGCGAGGCACAGTGGGAAAAGAGCACTGGCTCCTTGAGTCAGAAGACTGCAAAAAACTGAAGTCTTAGCTCCCCCAGTTACTAGCTCTGTGGCCTTAGACAAGGCAGCTAATGTTTCTGAACCTCAGTTCCTTTATCTATAAAATGGAGATTAGAAGATTATCTATCTCAGACTGGAAGGACCCTCAGAAATCACCTAGTCTAACACTTTCGTTTTACACAAGTGGGATCAGATAATACTTGCACTGTCTACCTTATGTGGTGGGTAAAAGATGAAATGAGTGAGGAAACAAAGGTTTGCTCTTCTGAGCCTATTGATTCATTAAGAAATGCATGCCAATTGCTAGGATTCTCATGAGAAAAGTGTTTTATAAGCCATAAAATGTCAGATGGATGCCAATAATAATTATTATTAACCAGAACACTTAAGAAATAAGGAGCTCTACTTAATTTGATTTTTCTGATTAACCAATTTGGAGGTACAAGTCAAATCCCTCTATAAAATTTATATTTTGGGGCTGCTCCTGACAAAAAGTTAAATGGCAGAAGAGATGCATCCCTTTATGACATTCTTGGGTAGGGTGATGGGGGGAAAAGGGAGGGGAAAAGAAGTGTGATGTGTAGCCAAATATTAGGCTTTAAATGATTAGACTTGAGTTTGAGTATAGGCTCTGCAACTTACTTACTTTGTAACCATAGGCAAATTCACTTGAACTCTGTTGTTCTCAGTTTTCTCTTATATAAAGTAGGAATAATAATATCTACACTTCCTACCTCATAGGATTGTGGTGAGAATAACCCTTTGTAACCTCAAAGAGCTACCCAAATGTGAGTTATTATGCAAGGTGTTGGAGAAATTAAAATGCTACTGTGATCAGCCTATACAATATCCATTGGGCATAGGTGGTGGCAACAATCTTTTTGAGATGAAAAAAATTGTCCCTTTTCTCCTTTGTGGTAGACCCTGGGTGTGGAACATTTCATTTATTGACACAGCTGGTGTTTTGGTTAGATGTGGTTAATCGGTTCCCATCTTTACTCTTTTTATAAGGGATGGCTCAATGGGTAAGGAAGAGAGGAGGGATAGATTTAGAAATGAAGGTGATAGAAAAACAAAGAGCTATCAGTGACAATTAAATGAGAAATTAGTCCTCTCATTTTGCGAGTTAGGAAAGGTCTCTGATTCCTTTAATCTTGTGCCTTTTTGGAAGAACTTTCAAATGCTATTAGTTGGGAATGGTAGCTATTACCATTAGGAATGGAAGCCGTATCTATCGAGATGGAATACCAGGCCCATCTAACAGAACTCTTCAACCTACTGTACCATGTTTACTCAAAAATCATCAGACTGTCATTACTGGACTGGAAATATGCAACTAAAACCCTCCAATGTGTCAACAAGAAAAAAAAAACATTAAAAATGAATTCAGACTTTACTATAAAAGAGATTAAGGCTGTTCTGTCAACAAAGACAAATCAGCAAATACTCTGTAAATGTGATGACTGCAATACATAACATACAAATACAAAACAAGGTGGACCCATCTTTTATACTCACCATTTGTGGTTAATCAAATAGATGCAGACAGGATATGAGGGAATCTCTACCAGCCCAGACAGGGCCAGGTTGGCATAAATATTTCCACCCAGATCTCCCGCACTAAGCGTTAGGCCATAATAAACCAAGCTGCACACAAACCTATAAAAGGGGAACAAATCCATGGGTGAGGAAAGAAGGGACAATTGGGAAAAAAATCATGTAAGTAGGCACTCTGTGATGTCACATAAGATTATCAATCAAATATTTTCACAACTCAATCATGAACTTGACCCTTGACATTAACTCTCCTCCCCATACAACAGCCTTCGACTCTAAGGCTCTTGTATGGGGAGGAGAGTTTAGGCTTAGACTCTGGGGTAGGCTTAGGTTTAGACTATGAATAATCGCTGTGGGAAATCAGGTCTGTTTAAGGTACAGTTTTGACGCAAATTAGAGATGGAGAAAATGTACACTTTGGAATAGAGGTGAATCAGACCCCACAGGGTGGACACTGCAGAGAGGAAGATTTGGGCTCAATACCAGGCAGAGGGAAAAAGTGGAACAGGTCATCTCAGGAAGTAGCATCTGCCCCCTTCTTGGAGGTTCTCAAGCTGAGGCTGGATGACTGACCGTTCAAGAAGTAAATGCTATGGGGGAGGGGTGGAGCATCTCCAGTCGTGCTGATCTATATCCCGCCACTGGACCCAGATGGCTCAGGAGGAGTAGGCGAGGCTGGAAACTCTGCACAGCCCTCCCTCACTTAAATCCAATTCACTTGCATGGCATGGCATCATCTTCCTGATGCCATGATCTGCTTCAAGAACTAAGGACAAAAAACAACAACAACAGCTATAGAGGGAATTCTTGTTTCAAAGACTTGGACCAATGGGTTATTTAGGTCTGTTCCTACTCTCAGCCTCCTGTATTTTTGGGGGGAGGAGGCTAGGTAATGGGGTTAAGTGACTTGCCCAGGGTCACACAGCTAGAAAGTATCAAGTGTGTGAGGCCAGATTTGAACTCAGGTCCTCCTGACTCCAGGGCCGGTGCTGTATCTACTGCACCACCTAGCTGTCCCTGTTCCTAATCTCAGAATGTGAGATCTCTTCAATAGGCAATCAGGGAGAAAAGTCTTACAGATACTATCCAGGTGACACACCATTGCCAGTGACACCCTTAATGTCTCCAGAGTTCTCAACACGGAAACATGTTCATTTGTTTCTACCTCTTGTGCAATTCTATCTTTTGGCTCAATTCTGCTTCCTATGTGCCGCAGACTAATAAATGTGGAAACCACGCATTGTTAAGGACATGTGCATGTGGAAATAATATTGGTTCCAGCCCCAGGAAACATACAGGTCTAGTGAGTTGGTCAAGATTACAGAGATTAATTTCAAAATAGCATGGGAGCCAAGTTGTAAGTTCAATGGATATAGTCAGGGAAAATGGTAGAAATAGATATGGCAGAGAAGATGAGGCACAAAACACCCATGTTACCATGGAGCAAGTTTTCTTGAAGGTGATTGGGAGCCATAAATCTACATATAAAAATTGGTTTAATTCTCATCGAGTTCTAGATATGACTAGGGATCTTTATGTAACCTTTAACAGTATTTTCTCAGGCTACCATAGACCCTAAAAACCCACCCTATCTGGCACTTGCTAGATTTGTGATAATAGGAAAGTCACTTAACCTCTGGGTCACAGTTTTTTTTCCTACAAAATGAGGTGTTGAGTTTAGATGGCCTCTGAGGTGTCTTCTAGGTTTCAAGGTATGATCTCATGAAATTTTATATGAGCAGACATTAAAAATTCAGGTTTAATTTTACATCCCACTGTCACACTTAAATGGCACCAAGCCACCCAGAAGAATACCTCAATAAGCTAAAATTCAAATAGAATTTTCAATCTTTTTTTTAAAAAATAAGTATACATGGAATAATATCTTCCCTACTATTTTAAAAGTAAAAGGACACCTTTAGGAGATCAAATCTCTTATTTACTTAAATTACTATTATTTATTTAAATCTGTATTATACATATAATATATAGATTCATATCTATATTATGTATATATTATATCTATATGTAAGAGATACAATCTCCTATTTATTTAAATCTGTATTATATATATTTATATCTATATCATATATGCTATATCCATACATAAGAAAACAAATCTCGTATTTATTTAAATTTATATTATTTATTTAAATCTGTATTATATATAATATATAGATTTATATCTATATTATATATATTATATCTATATGTAAGATACAATCTCTTATTTACTTAAATTAATATTATTTATTTAAATCTGTATTATATATAATATATAGATTTATATCTATATTATATATATTATATCTATATGTAAGATACAATCTCTTATTAGTTAAATTTATATAATTTATTTAAATCTATATTGTACATATAATATATAGATTCATATCTATATTATATATATATTATATCTATATGTAAGAGATAAAATTTCTTATTTATTTAAATCTGTATTATATATTCATATCTATATTTCTACATTATATCCATGCATAAGAGATCAAATCTCTTCATTTAAATTTATATTATTTATGTATTTCTATCTCAGAGAAAAAATTTTACGGCAGGCCTCATAGTGTGATGCAGGTTAAAGAATATTGGAGTCAGAGGCCTCCATTTTGAATCTCACCTCTGACATTTATTACATGTATGACCGTGGACAATTAATTCCCTTAACCTCCCTGGGCCTCACTTCACTCATCTGTAAAATGAGGAGGCTAGATTGTTTCTGACATCCGTCCCAGTTTTTAATCCATGAGTTATGTATGATTCTATGATTCTTACATGCCACATTCAAGGTGCTCCTGCTGAAAATAGCATTGGATTTAGGATTATTACCTTGCTTGGAATTTTGTTTTTTATAGGACCTTTCCGGACCTCAGTTTCTCATCTGTAAAATTAGGGGATGGACTATCAGGGGCGGAGAACCTTTGGCCTTGAGGCTCCATATAACTCTCTAGGTCCTCAAGTTCGGCCCTTTGACTGAATCCAAACTTCACAGAACAGATCCTCTTAATAAAAGGATTTGTTACGTAAAACTTGGACTCAGTCAAAAGGCCGCACCCGAGGACCTAGAAGGCCACATGAGGCCTGGAGGCCGCAGGTTCCCCACCCCTGCAGAAGGTCTCCAAGGTCCATTCCAGTCTAAAGTTCTGACTCTGAACAGATGCTTGTCTCCTCCTTCCCTTCTGTCCCCAGTGTTGATGACACAGGGATTATTGGACAACATACGGTGGTGTAAAACAAGAGGAAAAAGAAGCCAATGTCGCCTTTACTCTGGGGTAGAGCACTGGATTTGGGGTCAGAGGACTGCACTTGTTTCTTCTGCTTGCTCTATTTGAATAGCTATTTAATCCAATAATAGTGCTTTATTAGAGATGTATTGTAATGTACAAAGCACTGTTTGGTGATCTCGACGTGTATTACCTACTCTTCTATCTAGGATCAGCCATAAGTTGATGTCTACATAAAATCACCATCCTCATTCAAACATTGAACATGGGGGCCCCATGGAGCCATCCACAGCAGCCACATTGGAGCCACAGCCAGTCCAATGTGATAGGCCGAGTGACACAGTTAGCAATGGCATGTTCGTGTACTACACCACATCGTGTTTACTGTAGTTCAATAGAATAAAAGGAAGAGCTTTGCAAACCTTTATTTAACTGTGTGCCCTGAGCTACCACTGGCAAAGATGTGTACCTATCATGCATTAGAAGAGCTGCTTACCTCCCACTAATTTGAACCCAAACTGGTACAAGCTGGAACCTTCCCAAGTTACTTTCAGAAATGCCACACTCTCCACCAGGGACAATGTGTCTCATGCTCTAAGGGACAGCCTGGAAAATTAGGGGCTGAGGGTTCTGATTTTTGTTTAAACCCCTAACTTGCCTTGGGCATGCGTTTCAAACTCTTGGGATCTTAATTTGTAAAGTACATAAAATTTAACCCATCAAATGTGGGAAGGAGAAGATAGATGGAATTTCTTGTGAAGTACTAGGCAATTCTGAAGTTCTCTAAAATTCCTTGAGACTATAGGCTTCAGGGGCCGCGGGGTGGCGCAGTGGATGGAGCACCAGCCCTAGAGGCAAATCTGGCTTCACACACTTACTAGCTGTGTGGCAAGCCACTTAACTCTGAATGCCTTAAAAGGTAAAAAAAACAAACAAACAAACAAACAAACAAACAAAAACCAACCAAAGGTGGGGGCGAGAGAGAGACAGAGAGAGAGAGAGAGAGAGAGAGACACAGACAGACAGACAGACAGAGAGACAGAGAGAGAGAGACAGAGACAGAGAGAGACACTGACTATAGATTTTCCCCCGCTAAAGTCCGATTTAAAAGCTTCAGCTAATGGTATCCATTCCTCTTCACTTATAATTGTTAAGAAGATTCACATAGAAATACCTTATTAGGAAAGATATGTCTCTCCCACTATTGTTTACCCAGTCAAGGTCAGAAGGCCTCTGCCTCTAACATGAATTGTGGAGAGAAGACGATGTCAAAAGCAGAGGACAGAGCAACAGAAACCAAGGGACAAGGCTTGTTTCTCATGCAAACATTCCCATGATGATGAATGAGGTAAACATTTTCAGAAATGATGCAGACGGGACAGCTTTTCAACAGACTTCTGGCAACTGGAATTACTGGGCATCAACAGCTTTTTAAAGGCAATACCCCAAACGTGTAAGTACCAGATGAACATCATGATGAGAGTGTGCCCCAAGAGGATCCTGTAGCGGAAGAGGTCCAGGAAACTGCCAGTCTCTTTGGAGATCCCCTCTGCTGGGGGCATCAGTGAAAAAGTGCACTTGAGCTTCCGGTTTCTCTTGGCAATGAGGTAGAGGGCATCTTCTGCTTCCTGTAGTCGGCCCTGGGAGTATAACCATCGGGGGGACTCAGGAATGAATCTGAAACAGATTTGAGAGAGATAGGTATGTATGTGTATATGATAATACAAACTAATATAAATAATAAATAAATAACATAATTAAACATCTGCACAGAACCTTTTTAATTTAATGTAATTGAAATTATTCATCCTACACCTAACTCTGCTCTTTATCTCTTGTTTATTCATAAATGGTGCACCTATCCATAAATCTGATAAGTAATATGTTCCATGTTCTTCTAATTTTCTTGTAATCTCTCTCTTTATATCTAGATCATGTATCCATTTTCACCTTATCTTGGTAAATGGTGTAAGATATTGGTCTATGCCCAGTTTCTGTCACACTGCTTTACAGTTTTCCCAACAACTTCTACCAAATAATGAATTCTTACCCCAAAATCTTAAGTCTTTATACTTGACAAACACAAGTGACCTTGTATCTACTTGGTATATAGTTTTTATATACATATACACACATACATACATGCATACATATATATGCATGTTATTTCCCCCATTAGTGTGTAAACTCTCTGAAGGCAGGGACAGTTTTGCTTTTGTTGCTGTATCTCTGGCAATAACACAGTGTCTGGCACTGAATAAATGCTTGTTGATTGACCATCCCTCAGAGCTTACTAGCTCTGTGTCCCCAGACAAATCACTTCACCCACCTGGTCCTCAGTTTTCTCACTGGTAAAAAGAAAGGGGTTAGAATCTATGACCTCAAAGGTACCTTTCAGTTATAAATCTGTTATATTCTGATTCTATGTCAGGGCTCCACATAAGACATATGAAAATGAAAAAAAAAAATCAGTCCTTTCTATAGATAAGCATTATGTAGTGGGTGAACCCAAAAATCATGTGAATTTATAAAGAGAAATGAGGACTATGTTTCTAAAATTCAAAGAAGTTTTTTAAAAATTAAAAATCAATTTTTTGATGATGATTTTAAAATAAATCTGAAGGTTTTAATGTTTGAAATATGAATTATGGGTTAAGATTAGAAACCTCAAAAACACCCTACTAGTTCCTATTTCAATTTATCATAAAATAAAGAGTCAGACACAAGGCATTAAAGCAATGGTATAGAATGGTATAGAAATAGTATAGCCTGTCTATGTGTCAGATAATAGGGTATTTAAATTCCCAGAGGCCAACTTTAAGAAGTAACTATCTTGACCAACTACATATGTTCCTGTGGAAGGAAGGAAGGAAGGAGGTAGGGAAGGAGGTAGGGAGAGAGGGAGGAAAGGAGAAAGTAAAGAATGAAGGTTATTCATTAAGCAAGATTATCCCTACACTATACAAACCAATGGAATCCTTAAATTTATCATATCTTGGCCACTGTTGGCCATTTTTTTCTTTCTCATTTTAAATGTGTACTTCTAAAAAAAAATCTTAATAACTAGGAACACTGAGTAGAAGCTTCAAAGAGGCAGATTTAGCAGATTTAGGCTTGATATAAAGAAATATTTTCTAATAATTAGAGTCCTGCAAAACCAGAATGGGCTGGAAGTGATGGGTTCCCCCCATCTGGAGGTCACTCAGCAAAGACTGGGTGACCACACGTCAAGTATATTTTAATGGGAAGGCTTTTTCAGGTATGAGTAAGACCTGGTGGTCTCTTTCTACTCTGAAATTATATGATTCTCTGATTCTATTAAAATGAATGTTTTTTTAAATATACTTATTAAGAATAGAATAGAATATTCTCACCAATATCTTGCACTCAACCTGTCAGTGCCTCCAGGTAATTCTCTAGGACTACAGATTACAGTCAGTGCTAATCTGCATTGGTAGATGGAGTTTCCACCCCAGGATTTCCCTATGCCAATGAAGTTCTGGACACCATGCTCCTTACTACCACACCCATCATGATGTCTTAAACACTTCAAATGGTACATCTTTTAGTCTGTACCCAAGAGTACACTTGATGAGACTGTTCAAAGATGAGTTGGGGAAGAGACACAGAAGTATCATAGTTAACTAATCACAATAAGAAAGTACATCTGGATCCCATTTGAAGATGCTATGTCACTTTGGTGGCATATACGTGTCTAGAATCATTTGCATAAAACGAAATTTGGATGGATAGAATTTATCAGAAATTCATCATATCTTTTTAGAAATCTCTGTAGTTTTTAGGAAGGACACCAGAAGGAAAATACTACTACTGAATTTATTGCTGCCCTTCATTCTTGAAGAGGACCATGGCATGCAAGTAAATTGGATTTAAGTGAGGGAGGGCTCTGCAAAGTCACCAGCCTCACTCTCTCCTTCTGAGCTGTCTGGGTCCAGTGGCAAGATATAGATCAGGGCAACTGGAGATGGTCCCACAACTGAATTTGGAAACTTAATCACTTAGTCAATAATCATGTACAAAATATCCACTTTCTGTAAAGATGTACAAGATGCTGCAAGGGAAGACAGTGGAAAAAAAGACCTGCTCCATGCCCTTGAAAAATTTTGCTACTTAGCTCAGAATATTAATTAAAGAGCTTAACAACAACAACAACAACAAACTGGAAATGAAGGAGGAAGGGCAAAAAAGAAGGCTCATAAGATCACAGGATCATTTATCTAGAACTAGAAATGACCTCAGAAACCTTCAAGTCCAACCCCTTTATTTTACAGAGGAAGAAACTGAGACCCAGGGGAGTTAAGTGATTTGCCTAAGATCAAAGAGGCGGTAAGTAGCAAAGGTGACAATTTGAACCCAGGGCCTGTGATTCTAGAACTATACTACACTACCTTCCGGTGGTAGATCTAGGAGTATTGTAGCGTCTCATTAATTGTTCCATGAGTACTGTTTATTATAAAATTGCTGCTCAAGGCAAAGCTCCCAAAAATAGGCATGCCAAAAAGCCCCCTGTGACTAAATTGATTTGTTTGTAGATGAAGCTACCTGTCTTTAATCGGGCCAAGCATCCCTGCCCCAAATGTGCAAAGCACATGAAAGGTTATTTAAGACCAACCAAAAGGTCTAGTCCTCCATGAAGTAAGGTCATCTGCGCTTCCCACAAAGCAATAAGTAAAACAATGAAACATGGAGAACGTTTATAAGGAAATATGAGTGACGATATCATTGTTGAGATGGTAGAACCATTTTTCACCTGTTTCCCTTATCTCAGGGGCAACAGTTTTAATGGCCTGGAGGAAATAAATGAGTGTTTTCTATATTAGTATAGGAACTGTCTCTAAATAATTACCATATGGTAAAAGTGTGACCTAGGGGCAAGTCATGAAACCTCTCTAGGCCTTATTTCCTCATTTGTAAAATGGCTATATTGGACTAGATTTCCCCTAAGGTCACTCTGAGCCATGACTAAGTCATTTTGTTATTATAAGAAGAAATTACAGGATTCTAGAAAACCAGCCATCCGGGAAGCAAAGTCCTGATCAGAGTAGTGAGTCATCTAAGAAAGTTTGTGGGGAGAAAAGTGGGGAAAACGGGTAGCTGAACCCAGAAAACATCAACATGCATTGAACTACCCAGAGAAGTCATCCTGAAATGCTAATGGAGCTCCAAAGGATACTGAGACCAGAAGCAGAGAATGACCATGGAGAAAGGAGGTTAAATAAAGGGGGAAAAATGACAGCAGATTTTCTTGAAGTATGCAGACTCGAGGGCTGGAGTGGGGAACCTGCAGCCTCAAGGCCGAGAAAACCAAGCCAAAATACTGCTTGATGTTACAGATGCTGCGTAGTGTGGTAGAAAGAACCAGGAATATGGAGTGTGATGACCTAGGCCTGAACTGCAGACTTTCTCCATCTCCCCAACCTCACTAAATTACTTCACAAGGCAAATTCCTTAGCCTTACTAAGTCTCAGCTTCATCATTGCCTAGACTTGGGCGTTCTGTGAGACAAGTAAAATAACTGGATTATCTATGTTGCAGAATTGTTCTGGGGAATCAAGTGAGCTAATGTATAAGAAGTGCTTTACAACCTTAAAGCTCAATATAAATGTCAACTACTGTTAGGTTGGGGCAAGAGATGAAGAAGCCGAACCAGCAGAACAAGCCTACCAACCGTGTTACAAATCTGCTGAAGGCAAACTGACCAAGATCTGGAACTGTTTCAAGGGCAAGTGATGAAATTTGAAGAAGACCATGAAAATATTCCATCCATACTGCCAGAGAAGTAAGGATCAGTGGGAGAAGTTCTGAAATTTAGGGTCATCGATATGGAGTTGGAAGAAATGTTATAGGCTGCCAATCTCATCATTTTTACAGATAAGAAAATTAAGGCTCAAGGCTAAGTGACTGGCCTTTGATAAGAAAGGCAGTAAGCATCACAGGTGAGTTCTGAACTCAGGCATCTTAGTCCAGAGCCAAGTTCTTTCCATTATATCAAGGTTGGTGGCCAGATAATACAGGATGAAGATAGAACTTCCAAAGGGATTTGGAGCCATCGGGTGCAAAGGGACTGGCTGCTTGTAAGGTCCTCATAGGATAAGCTAACATCCAAGGAAAGAATTTTTAGATGCTCCATAGAAAAGTAGATGAGTTCCAGAAGACCTGAGAAATCTAGCAGCTCTGCCAAATCAAATTGAGTTAAGCACTGAGAGAGAGCCTGGGTTAACACCCAGACGCAGTGGGTTAGGGTCAGCTGACTCAGAGAAAAAGAGGGGGCCTAGTCAATGGACTGGAGGTTGGGGTGGAGGGGATGAGCAGAAAATAAGACACACCCAGATCTAGCTTTGGTCCCATCTGCATGCACTTAGCACAAGAGAAGACAGTTAGCTTTTAAGACTTTTGCAACTTTATCACTTTTCTTCCATAGTTATGAGAGGGTTAAAAAAAAAACCAATTTCTTAAATAAACCTTAGTGAAAGCAGGATAGAGGAAGGGTGGAGAATAATTTGTAATAATAAAAATAGCTAACATTTATATAGTGCTTGCTATGTGCCAGTCAAGACCCATCAAATAAGAAAGATCAATAAAAGGAAACTTCTATTACTCATAGTAATTGAAAGGGGAAAGATAAGAAAACAAGCATTTATTAAGCACCTACGATG